AGTAAAAGTTAGTCAGATACATTGAAGTTGACCAGTAAAAGTTAGTCAGATGTATCGAAGTTGACTAGTAAAAGTTAGTCAGATATATCGAAGTTGACAAGTAAAAGTTAGTCAGATATATCGAAGTTGACTAGTAAAAGTTAGTCAGATACATTGAAGTTGACCAGTAAAAGTTAGTCAGATGTATCGAAGTTGACTAGTAAAAGTTAGTCAGATATATTGAAGTTGACTAGTAAAAGCTAGTCAGATGTATTGAAGTTGACTAGTAAAAGTTAGTCAGATATATCGAAGTTGACTAGTAAAAGTTAGTCAGATATATCGAAGTTGACCGGTAAAAGTCGTAGTGAAAATAAAGATATTTATTTAACGTAGTCCAAAACCTACCGATTCTTATAGAAATAGGATTATTTTACGTGTTACTCTTCACGAAAACATGGACATTAAAGATTAACTAATAGAAACCTTGTCATACCGTACTTCAAAAAATGTCAGCACCACATCAGTAATGAAACCAAAAGATAAAGACAAAAAAAAAATGCCCCCCTCTTTTATTATTCTGATCTGCCCGTTACTTTTATTCAGCCAGTTTATTTATGAAGTAATATTTTAGAACGTCTGGTTTTTATTTGAACTGTTTTTTAACTCATTATCTGGAATTATTGCTAATAATAGAATTTTGGTTTTCACGTATTTTGGACAAACCGTAGGAGATGTATCAATGTTAATTAAAACAGTTATATTTTTGTTAATTAAAACAACTTGTAAGCCAATAGAATACGTCATGTCTCGTGGGTTGGCACATACTATTTTAGTCAGAGAATGTTTCGAATCATTGCGAGTGGATGAATAAAGTAATTTATTAGGAGGGAACTATGCCTAGTAGAAGTAGAGCGTTTATTACGAGGTTCGTTGCAATATTGAAATGGGGGTGGAGACAAATTAACATTGATGGGAAAATTATAACCGATTAACTGTTGTATTAAAATTGTTTGAATCGGTTGTTTTTAGTTGCTTTCTGATTTACTTGTTTAAAGACAAAATGTGCGGAAATCAGAACATTTTCTTGTGTCACAGCTGCAGGTCTGAGGGTTTATAATCTAAAAATTGGGTATCAATACTTGTGTTGGGCACGAAGTGTGTAGCTTTGTGCGTAACAACAAACAAATCCTTTAGACTGTAAGCAGAAAACAACATTAATGTCTTGACATGAGCTGTTTCATTGACAGGACCGAAAGCCACGGACACGAGGCTGAGAAAGGTATTGTTCATTTGAGGCATTATGGGATATATTTTAAATTATTCCTTGCAGTTTTAAACATTTTGATGTGTTAAGAGTCCGTTATACAGGAAAATAGGAGTAGTTGAATAACGGTCTTGTAATTGTTTAATCCAGTGTTTTCCAAAGTTTGGGGCGTGGCCTTTTGGAACAGAAGGAACAGAAAAGTTGGAAACGACAATAACCTAACATAACTATTTCTTTCCCCTCTTTTTTTTTTGATCTCCCATTTGCTATTTCCCTACAATCATTTTATCAGTTAAACATTTATATAAAAAAAAAACAGGTAAAGAAAACGTTAGTTTGGCTGTTATCACTTGCGAAAATGTGAAAGCGCACAACGGAAACTTTGCTAAGTTATGGGGCGCCGCTATTTAAAGTTTGGAAACCTGATTTAATCACTTCAGTGAGGTCCATCGGTGGGTCAACAGTAAATTGACGGACTTACAACGCTAAAATCCGGGGTTCGAGTTGCGTTGGGGGAGAGAGCGTAGATAGCCTATTGTGCACTATATCAAAATACATACACACACACACACGCTTCAGTAGACTTGGGTTCGTGTCTTTAAGTATGAAACTGATCACGCCCCTATCCCACTCCATGTTTCGGATTTAATTACCCCGGATGTAAAAACTGTTATTTGATCTTGGTATTGAAAGCATACTTGTTTATCCCCGTTACTGTCACAGTTTTTGTGAAAGTCACATCTTTCAACATTTTGACTGGAGTGAAAGTTTTGATTTTTAGTTTGAAATATTGAAGCTAAATTCTGGCATTACACAATTACGTTAGCGAATAAAATGCAAGTTGTCTTGAGTGCCCTCTACTAAATGTTGTATACTTATTTACCCTTGCCCCCGGAGGTGAGGGCGAGGATATTGCAATCGGGTCCGTGTCTGTCTGCGTCTCCGCGCACTTATCTCGAAAACTAATAAACCGATATATACGAACATTTTACACAAGATAGGAATTCATTATGAAACACTCCTCCACAAATTTGGTTCGGATTCAATGCTTTGAAGCATTTTTTTTTTTTTTATTGGGAAGATAAGGCATTTAACGGTTTTCGGTTAATAATTCTGTAAAGTGTGATCCAATTTGTACCAAATTTCATGGACGCATTAAGGTTGAGACTCCTCATTACATTACAAAAAATGATCTGGATTATTCTGGATTTGAGAAGGATGTTCTGAGTTTTCGAAGGTGAAATTTGACGTTATCCAATATAAACGCATG